TTGGTTCTCATAACCCGGCCGGGTCAAATTTCGCAAAAAATTTTTGACTATATTTACTATCCGGGTGAAGTTTTTTTTAGAAGTTTATAAAAATTTTTATATGCTTTTTATATATAAAAATTTTTTGAAAATAAAATTAAAAGCCGGTTGCCGGATCACGAGAACCAAAAAATTAACTTTGTATGGCCTTATCCACTTTTTATTTCTTTTTTTATTAATTAATTGTTATTTTTATTTTTGTTTTTAATGATTGTTTATTTTTTATTTTGTGCCTAAAGCCAGTATTTAATTTAAACTTTTATTTTTAATGATTATAGAAGGCATAAACTTGTGTTATCAAAGGATCCAAAAACGAACAGAAAATTAGGTGAAAAATCAAATACGTCAATGTCCTCTATAGAGAACAATAATCGGGAAGAACTTAGTCAGTCTGTGAAAAAAGAACATAAAGAACTTAGTCAGCCTGTGAAAAAAGAACATAAAGAATCAGCTAATTTGATGGATACCAATGGTCAGTGTGAACCTATGTTATCACTTGATACACCGGTACCAGTAAGGGTAAGGGCTGACCATCAATGGTGTGGGCGATTGTATAAGAACATGCCTGCAGAATACGATTGTAGAGAGAGACTTGTCAGTGAGATATCTCTTAATATGATGGTTTTATATAAAAAGGACCGACAATTCTTGTAAGTGTCATTTTATATTAAAATTATTTAATACACTGAATACTTTTCGTTTAATGTATTAATATATAATGTTTAACAATAATATTTTTGTGTAGGCAAGAAATACGGCAAACGGATAGGCTCGTGATTGAACATGTTCAACTACAAAAACGACTTGGTAAAATAATTGAGCATGATGCGGCGGATTATGGAAAAGAATCAGGAAATGAACCATTTTACGCTATATACTTGGTATCTGATCATGGAAAAGATAAAAACCTTCATTCGGAATCAAAAGAACTCAGAAGAAAAAAAATAAAATTAATAACTCTAATAATAATACCTTGAAAGTGGTTCAAAAGAGGAAGCCAGTGACCACGGGGGA